AGGGCACTGTATTTGGAGTCAAAGGGTCTGGGTTCAAATCTTATCCTAGTCACTTACTGTCTGGGTGACCGTGGAGGTGGCTAATGAGTGGTACAATGGATAGAGCACTATGCTGGAAGTCAGGAAAACCTGAGTTCAAATCTGGCCTCAGGAACTTACCAGCTGTGTGACTTTGGGCAAGTCACTCAACCTCGGTTTCCTCAACTGTAAAAGGGGGATAATAACAGCTCCTCCCTCCCGAGGTTGTTGTGAGGATCACAAGAGATAATACTTATGAAGCACTTCGCACACTGTCTGGCACACAGTAGGTGCCACATAAATGCTTAGTCTTTCCCTTCCCTGAGACTATGGGCAAGGCACTTCATTCCCCCACTCCTAGACTCAGCTTCTTCCTCTATAAAAGGAGGTAGCTGGACTCAGTGGTTTCTGAGGACCCTTCCAGTTCAAGGTCTCAGATCCTCTGGTTCTGACTGCTTGGCCTAAGCTGGATCTATATTTGGAGAAGTCCTGAAGGAATCAGGCCATTTGGATCTATGCCTGACAGTCTGGGCAGATCCGAGGCAGGTTTTAAGCTCCAGGGAATAAGGGGGGGTATGAAATTATCTCTCTCACCCCCTGCCTCCATTCCTCTCTCCTGCAGAGACATAACTAGGGCAATGCCACCAGGGCAATGCTGCAGGTGGCCACATTTTAGAGGACGCTCATGATACTGAGAGTCCTTTAGCAGGGTGGGAACAACAGAGCTTAGTAGCAGCTAGTGAGAACTGTCAGTTAAAATCAGAAGCTAGCAGCCAGGGAAGAGCCCAGGACCAGGTCAGCTCCTCCCTAGATCTGTCCCATCCAGTTTTTTTATCTCCTCCCCAAATTTGGCCTCCCCAGCAGCAGCAGCCTCATGTGTCCCAGGTCTCCATGGCTGGCCTTCTTCAAAATAAACAGAGAGCATATTTTGTGCTCCTCACTCTGGTTATAAGAGTCCCTAGCTATGGCTTTGCTCCCTATAGTCCATCCCACAGGATCCAGAAGCAGACTCTGACAGAGTCTACAGATCCCTTCTCTAATCTGGATTCAGACACCTTGCTTGGTTTCTACTCTACCAATATCATGTTGGGTTCCTCTGGCAACTTCTCCCTTTTTAACTTCCTTTTTTGTATTTTTGTGTATTCCTTCCCCCATTAGATTGTAAGATCCTTGGGGGCAGCTCCTTGGAAGAGAAGAAAAGCAGGTTCATTCACTCATCATTGAGCAAACAAGCTTAGAAGCCAGCTATCAAAGATTTGGGGTTAGGGCTTTCAGATTTGTCATCCCCTTTCTCCCTTCTATTAGCACAAATAAAGGGGGGGGGCTGGATGTATCTGAGAAGCTTTGGGAGAGGAGAAAAGCACGTTCATTCACTCATCATTCAGCAAGCTTAGGCAATTCCATGGGCAGAGCAGTAGGGGAGAGGTGGTAGTGAATATGTGGGGGTCCAGCAGGAAAGAAGCAAGCAGCTAGCCCCTGCTATCGAGGAGTTCACAGTCACTGGGGTCAGGAATGAAGTTGGCACATAATGATATGATGAAAAGAAATCTGAACCTGGAATCAAAAAGCCCTCTGTGTGAATCCATCCTTGCTACTCAATGTGGGACCCTGGGTAAGTCACCTCACTTTTGGGGGTCTCAGTTTTTTGGATTGGACTAAATGACCTCAAAAATCCCTTCTGACTTGAATCCTTCCATGATCTTTCCAGGACCCCCATTTCAGCCTATATATTACTAGCTGACATCTACAGGAGAGACTAAGTGACCACTTATTGCAGGGGAGGGCTCTTCTTTAGGTAGGGATTGGACTGGCTGATGTCTGAGGTCCTTTCCTACGCTGATATTCTGCCAGGAGCCCTGTAAGCTTGACGCAGCGCACATACGCTATCTAATTTGACTCTCCTGACAACCCTTTTCAGTTGGCACTATTGGAATCATTATGGCCACTTACAGATATGGAAAATGAGGCTCAGAGAGGAGATATAAGCGAGAGCTTCCTAAGATTTCTCTAAACAGCTGACTACTCCCACCTACTTCTGTTGATTCATATGGGCACAAATGATCCTACCAGAAGGAATCCAGAAATCATTGCCAAAGATTATGAAGTCTCGGGCACCAAACTGAAGACCACAGGGGCACAGATGGTATTTTCATCACTGCTTCCCATTGAAGGAAAGGGATAGAGAAGAGAAAAAAAATTATTTGGGAAAAGAGCAGCTGGCTAGGGAGGTGGTGTCTGAGAATGGAATTTGTATTTCTGAACCATGGCTCGAAATATAGAAATATCAGACCCAAAGCTAGGGCTGTAGAATACCTAACAAGGGCTGATTAGAATGAACTTGCTCTGGCCCTCCACTCCACCTTCATCTGCCCCCATCAGTGACCGAATGGAAGGTTCACAGCCTGAATGATAAGAGCACTGACGTTCTTCTGGATCTCACAGGAACAGATCCTCCCTGGTTAAAGCCAGGGATCTGCATTCAGCTTTCAGCCTGAGCCTGACATAAGGATATCAGAGCCCCTCTTCTTCCCGGAAAGGTATAGCCTCTCAAGGAAAATCCCCTGTGCTGGTTGTTTCCAGATTTTGACCCAAGATGCCACAGTTCAGCCATGCAAACAAAGCCAAGAAAACCCCTTGCAAGCCTTTCTTCCATTCTTCTCGAAAGCCAGATAAGCTCCAAGGTCTCTGGAGGTGTAGCTAGGAATGCTAAAATGCAATTACTGACCCTCTGGCCTGGGAAATCAAAGAGCAAAATCATGTTTGGTCCATGACTGGAGGAATTAACTAGGTGTATTCTGATGAGTTTCAATTGCTCCTTCTCTATGTCTCTCTCTGTCTGCTGGTTTCTGTGTCTCTCTGACTCTTTGCCTCTGTTTCTCTTTCTCTTTCTGTCTCTGTGTCTCTGTCTCTGCCTCTCTGTCTCTATCTGACCTACCTTCCTCTCCAATACCATTGGTTAGAGGTTAAGAATATACAATACAGTGTGATGTTGTGGAAAGAACCCCGGATTTGGAATGAGAGAACCTGGGTTCAAGCCCTGATTCTACCTGTTACTGCCGGGGACAAGTCACTTAACATATCTGCATCTCATTCTCTTCATCTGTGAACCAGCTGGACTAAGCAACTTCTTACATCCTTCCCAGTCTTGACATTCTAGAGTTTTGATATCCCTGGGGCTGTGTGACCATTGAGAAGACCACCCACTCAACAGTACAAGAGTGACTCACCAGGAGCTTTCTCTTCTGTGGGTAACAAAGGAAATTACTGATGTTCCCTTTCCAAAGCACCCAAAGTCTTTTTCTTACCACTACTCTAACATTCTGTAATGCCCTCCCCACATCATTTATAGAATCAATCACATTGAATTTTGGGGGACTTTGAAAAAATGTCAGCCCTTTGGACTTCCCATGGCGAAAGAAGTCATGTTCCAATGCCACAGAAGGTGGGGCTGGGAAGCCTATTTGTACAGAAGTGAGAGCAAAGGATTGGAGGAATCATTAATTCTCCCACCTTCACTTCAGCCCGACAAAGGCTCTTTCCCAGCTTATGGTGGAGTTTCAGATTTCATCAAATTCAGAGTAATTGCCCCAAGTTTCTTGCTTTATCTGAAGAAGCTGCTAAAGGGTTTGTAGAGAGATCCTTTCTCTGATCATCGAGTTCACTTGTCCCTCCTGCCATCACTAGTGGCCAAGGGGCCAACCAAATGCCTTTCTTCCTCCTTCATAGCCTTCCTCCTTCCTGCTCTTCCTGACTTTTCTCTGCTTTGCCACTGCAAGTCTCTGGCCGATAGCCAGACTGTAGTGACTATGGAGAGAAGGGCTTCTCTCTTCCTTACTGGTTACGAGCATCATGGCAACACTTCTGCCTCATACTCTGCGGTTTGTGCTTCCCATCATTTGAATTCCATGCATTGGCAAGATAATAACATCAGTTTGGCAAGAATTTACTAAACGTCTGCTCTGCAGGTACTTCACTACTTATTAGGGACCGAAAGATGGAAAGTGAAATGATTGTGGCCCCAGGGACCTTACATTCTAATCTCTAGCACTGGGCCTCATAGGCAGTGAGCTTGAGTCTTGCCTTTCTATTTTACTAATCTGGGAATTCCTCAACTCCCAGTTGCAAGATGTTGCTTCTCCCATCACAGGGCAGCATGCCTTTCTTCTTCTGGATAGGAGGAAGTGGTCTCAGCCCTGCTAGGGGGATCTCAATCATCAGGGAATAATAGGAGTGATATACTTGGAACAGGTGGGTCCTTCCAAGCATCTTAAAATCACGTCTTATAGAAGAAGGGAACAAACATTTATTAAGCACCTACTATGTGCCAGGCACTGGACTAAGCACTTCATAAATATTATTTCATTTGATGACTACCTAATATGGCCCTGGGAGAGGGGGTGGAAAGTATAGGAGAAACCTGAAGGGAAAGCTGGCTAAGTCTTGAAGTGAAAGGCCATCTTTTGTTTCTCTCTAGGGCTGGTCACTGTCTTTGTTTGAAGTTTCATGGTTTATAGATAGGTGAGAGGAAGCAGATGGTGTGTGTGTGAGGATGGCTACATATGTGTGAGTGTGTGTACATGTGTGAGAAGGTATGTTTGTGAGAGTGAGTACAGGTGTGTGTGTGGGGGGGTGAATATGTGTGCGTGTGAATGGGGCATAGCATAAATCAAGTCCTCTGATAAAGTTTGGGTGTTAACCATTAACTCTAATAATGTAATTGATTTCTGCCCCCCTCCCCCCATTGCACTGGTTAAGTGAGAATGAGCTAGAGCTTCACTTCTCTTCTGGAGCCTGAGCTGGAGCTGGGGGCAGGGAGCAGGTGGGGAGAGACACCAAGCCAGGGACAGGAAAACCGTCCTTCTGAAACCTAAGCTCTCGGTCACCTCTGCCAATGACCAGTCATACGCCAGATAAGTTTCACCCAATGCCTGTGGAACACTCATCAGAGAAAGGAAAGGAGCCCCAGGTGGGCCAGTACTCACTTGTGGTGCTTCCTGTCATCTGGATGATACATTTCGAGTCCCGGCTCATTTCTCGGGAGTTAAAGGGGCGTACTCGCACTGCCACCTTTACTGAGGCTCCTGCCATCTTGGTGGTCCTTCGTAGTGGCTTTTAATTGCAGGAGGGACCTCAGGAATAAATGGAAAAACCCTGGAAGGATGAGAAAGATGAATGAGAAGGGTTAGAAAAGCCCTTGGAGCAGCTGTTCGGAGCCCAGAATTTGGAGAAAATGTTGGTGGATTCGGTAGAATCTCAAGGTCATGCCTGAACCCGAAGTTCTGAAATATTTGCTGCCATCTGAGTCAATAAACATTTATTAAGCCCCTACTATGTACCAGCCATGTGCTAAGTACTAGATTACAGAATGGATTTCCTCCCTTTGTTACCCATCTCACATCAACAGAGGCTTCAGCAGCATCTTACAATAAACAAGCTTCAGAAGAGACAGGTGATAGAGAGACAGAGAGTAGTAGACAGAGATAGAGGAGACAGAGAGAGAGAGACTTGACAAAGAGCTGTAGATAGAGAGCTGGAGGAAGACCTGAATTCAAATCCAGCCTCACACTTACTAGCATGGTGATCCTGGGCAAGTCACTTAAACTCTATCCCAGTTTCCTCATCTGTAAAATGGCCTCTACCTCCCATGGTTATTGCAAGGAACAAATGAGATAATTGTAAAGTGTTTACTGCAGTGTCTGGCACATAATAGGCCATATAAAGACTTATTCCTTTCTCTCTGGAGAAATATTTGCACCCTTCTTTCTACTCAAGTATTGCAAAAATGTCAGCAAGTTTTTGTAGCTTTGCTTTTGAGTTAGATGAAGTGACAATGTTCAAAACCACCTGTCAATAGTGTTAGAGGAGGGGGTCTTGGATCACTTGGGGTTTTGGGCTAGGTGATTTCTATGGTCTCTAGCAGTTCTTCACCTTGGAATTCTCAGTACTGCATGGTGCTGACCAGCAAGCAAACCCTAGCTGTTCCCTTGGTAACTGGAATCAGATTGGAGTCTCCTTAATGGCTGTTTAATCAATTGTAGTCAATTGGCTCTAAGTTCAAGTGAGTGCAGTTAAGTAGCATCAGTTGCTTTCAGGAGATAAAGTGAATGCTCCAAAGGAAGAGCTAAGACAAAGCAGATTGTGATACTCCCAGAAAGACTTTTTGGGTGAGAACAAATGAAACCCAGGCATTGGAAATTATTGAGAAGTCTCAAAAATGGGGCTGTCCAGAGTTACCTTCCTGTGGTAATATGGTCCAGAAGTGATGGAAATACAAAATGTGAATGTTTTGATATCCTCATTCTCATAATCACCTCCATTTTAAGGAGAGAAAATGAAGTAAAATCAGAGAATCTTGGAATTTGAGAATTTAAAGAGACCACAACAGCCATCTGGTCCAAATGCACCAGTTTTCCTAAGGATACCAAGTGGAACAATGACAAATGCAATGAGATTATGCCACCAGAAAGCCAAATTCTTTACCTTTTTTAAAAGTGAAAAATTTACCTTGCCATCTTCAACAGAGACGACCCCTGGTTTGATGAAAACAGACCCAAAGCACCCATACATCTAGTCCAAGGCTGTGTGCTTTGGAGGATTTCAGTAAACTTCACTGCTTGACTCACTAGCATGATTGTTACTGAAATAAAATGTGACTGCTTCTATCTACCAAAGACGCTTTCTTTATTTAGACATAGAGGCAAAGGTTTTCCTTTTTGTGGCAGATATAATTACAGACTCTCACGTGTGGAAAGAGCTTCACAGATCATTTAGTTTACCCATGCCTGAACAGGAATCTCTTCTGTTGGATTCCCAACAAACATTTATATATGGCCCCTACTTGAAGACTCCTAGTGATAGGAAACCAGCCACCTGCCAAGCCACACCTAATCCCACTTTTGGTCAGCTCCAATTGGTAGGAAGATGTTCTTGGTATCAAACTGAAACCTACTTCCCTATAGTCCTATTTCTGCCCTCCATCTTTCTTCCATATAGCTCTCCATACACCTGAAGATAGCTCTCATCTCCCCTATGTCTTTTCTTCTTCAGGCCACCAACAAATCTAACACAAAAGCACATTCACCTGCAGACCTGGTGCAAGGTAATAGCTACATACCTCTAGGCTATGTTTCAACCTCTTTCTTAAATGGATGACAAAAAATTCACTGTTAGCAGGAATCATTGATTCCATTTCTGTGAAAAATTCAGCATTATTTCCATGAAAAAAGATGTTCAGAATCCAGTTCAATGTTCTTTTAACTGAACTTTGTCTAATGAAGAATTCTGTTCCCTCACTGTTATGGCTACCGTCCTCTGGATAAGTTCCAATTTCCTAAAATGTGGTCCCTAATCTAGAGTCACCGTGACCATGGAGAGGAGAAGGGCACAATTGCTCCTCTCATTCTAGGCACCATATCTCTCTTGGAAATGTAGCTTAATTGAGATCACTTTTGTGAGCACCATTTTACGTTGTTGACGAATCATCACAAACATAGATATCTAGCAAAGGTTTGCGAAGCACTTTACAAATAAGACCTTATTTGATCCTCAGAACAACTCTGGGATGTAGGTGCTGTTATTATCCCCATCTTACAGATGAAGAAACTGAAGCAGACAGGGGTTAAGTGACTTGTGCAAGGTCACAAAACTGGTAGGTGTCTGAGGCAAATTGGGTCTTTCTAATTCCAGGTCTAGCCCTCAATCCATTTTGCCACCCAGATACTTAGGTGCTGACTACAGGGAAGGGAAGTGAATAAGCATTTATGAATCCCCTACTATGTGCTAGGCACTGTGCTGTGCTTTTTTACAAATATTATCTTACTTGATCTCCATAACAACCCTGTGAGATAGGCGCTATTACTATTTTATACTTGAGGAAACCAGCACAAATAGAGAGAGATGAAGTGAGTTGCCCATAGTCACATGATGTCTGAAGCCAGATTTAAACTCAGGTCTTCCTGAATTTCCTGACTCCACCTAGTTGACTCAATATTGAACTTGCAGCCCATTAAAAGCCCCAGATCTCTTTTTAAATTTTATTTATTTTATTCCAATCTTAAGAAATAAAACAAGCATTACCGTAACATAGTAGAATAAAAAAGATGATTGCATATGAAACTTCAAATCTATTATGTACAACTTGCTATTCTTTTTAAATATATAATAAAGTTATCATGTAACTTTTTTTATTTTTTTCTTCTCTCCTCTCTCCCCCCTCTCCACCCGAGATGACTACCATTTGACACAACTATGTCTATATATAATATATGTAGAAAATGTATTTATGTATCTATCTATATAAATACACATCAATACATACATCCACTTGTGTATGTATGTGTACATATATATATAAAATCATTCTATATATATATATATATTTCTATTTATTAGTTCTTTCTGTGGATGCAGATAACATCAATTTGTGATCTGGCCATGCTTTCTCTAGCCTGCATTTGTACAATTACTGTTTTGAATCCAAGTGTAGGTCTTTACATTTATCCTACTAAATTTAACCTAATTTAACTCAGCTAAATCTTACAGCTTCTGGAGATTTTTTTGGATTCTAATTCCATTTTCCCACATGGTAGATACGCCTTCCAGCTTTGTATTAATGACACATTTTATATGTATACATATGTATATACACATATATGTGTATATATACATAATATTGCATATGTTATATGTGTAATTTATTCTTTCAGCATTTCTGTAGCACTTTAAGGTTTGCAAAGTACTTTGCATACATATATCATCTGATCCTCACAAAGACGCTACAAGATAGGTGCTATTATTATCCCCTTTTTTTAGAAGAGGAAACTGAGGCACATGAAGCTTAGGTGACTTGACCAGGATCACACAGCTATAATGTTTTATAAGGTAAGTTATAAAGTCATTGATAAGAATATTCATGACAAACCAGCCCAGGATGGCAGTGATTCCAGGGCATAAGCTTTAAAGAGACTTTCAAATCATCCTAGCCTTGAGCATTTGGGGGAGGGTGCGCAATGATTTCTGACAATTCCTTGTCCTCTTTCCACACTCTTCCCGTTCTACTTACAGACAAGAGTAGAGACTGGAAGCTCCTTGAGGGTAGTCACTGTCTTTTGTCTTTCTTTGTAACCCCAGGCTTAGCACAGTGGCTGGCATAAGTTTATTGTTGTTGTTGAGTAGTTTCAGTCACGTCCCCTTTGAGATTTTCTTGGCAGAGGTACTGGAGTAGTTTGCCATTTCTTTTTTCCGGCTCATTTTACAGGTGAGGAAACTGAGGCAAACAAAGTGAAGTGACTTGCCTAGGGTCACACAGCTAGCAAGTGTCTGAAGTAGGATTAGAACTCATGAGGATGAGTCTTCCTACTTCCAAGCTCAGTACTCTGGAGCTTAATAAATGTTGCTTGGGCTCTGGCTGAATGCAGGCCTGCTGGGCAGGACGGTAGCAATTCTCTGCAAATGGCAATGAAATCTGGAAGTCCCCAGCTGCCCACCATGGCAGCAGGCCACCTCCTAGCCCCATTTCCATTCTGACTCCATCTCTCAAGTCCCTTTCCAGCACCATGCATGCCCATCTGCTCTCTCTGGTGCCACCCAAGACAGCAGAGCTGATGGACTCAGCATCATGGAATGCACATGCTCAATGATGTCTTGGAGATTATCAAGTCCAGCCCCCCTCCTCCCATTTTACAGATGTGGAAACTGAGGCCCAGAGAGGGGAAGTGACTCATCTAAGGCCACCCAGTAATTTGATGATAGAGCCAGAGTGAGAACTCAGAATACTTTCTTCCAAATCCAAGGCTCTTTCTCCTCTGCTGACACTCTATACTCCTCCACAGAATGCCTTATCCTGGGCCCTGAAGGTGAATCTTTAGCAGTTTAAGAGACCACACACACACACACACACACACACACACACTCACTCACACTGAATTTGGAATTAGAAGATCTGGGTTCCAGTCCCAGCATGACCATTGGGGACCACAGCCCTTCAGGGGTCAGTTTCTTCACCTGTATAAAGTCACCTTTGAGGTGCCTTTCAGTTCTAAATCTACAAGCCTTCTCTTGCTCTAGGCCACTTTAGTCCCAGGCCTTAT